ATAAGGAGGAAGTTCCTTACCCTGAGGGTGCTGAGGCACTGGCACGGGTTGCCCGGAGAGGCTGTGGATGCTCCATCCCTGGAAGTGTTCGAGGCCAGGCTGGATGGAGCCCTGAGCAACCTGACCTAGTGGGAGATGTCTCTGCCATGGCAGGGGGGTTGGAGCTACATGATCTTTGAGATCCCTTCCAACCCAAATCGTTCTGATTCTGTGAATGTGGATACCAACCTCAGGCACAGAAGCACTCACTTTTCAGAACGTTATGCCTGCCAACAGCTATTCATTTTTGTATGTTTACAGGATGATTTGCTAAAAGCTGGTTAGTCCTAATGTAACCATACCTGAATTCAGAGTAAAAATACCTTCCCCTCTCAAATGACAAGGTGATTTGACTACTAATGCAGGTTGCTAGAGAGACAGGGTCGGTTTTTTAAACGTGTATCTTGTGCAGAGAAGTCCTGCGCGCGGCCCAGCCTGTCCTGATCAGTATTGCTGCCTTGTGCCAAGCACCGAGGATTTGCAGTATGACGACATGCACCTCCTGCTGGGGGCTTTGAGACTGGTGGTTGGCCCTGCGCTTGAGGAACTTGCTCCCTCTGCTGATCTATTTTGATCTGCGTGTTTTTCACATAGCCAGCAGCCTGCACTAGTAACTGCCCAGAGGATTTTAGTAAACAGGACAGAAAGATGTGATTTTGCACAGAGGGCATTATGTATAATCTGGTAGTGGTGGGCCTGTCATGCCCAGGTGTTTATCATGAGGGTGGCTTCTTACACTGAGAAAATGTATTTGAAATGCAAGGGGTAAAAAAAAGTCCATTAAACTCTGGACATGATCTGAAAAATGGGAAGAGGAAAAGGCCTTTTGCATTGTGAACGTGGTAAGAACTCAAGTGTTGTTGTTTAGCTGTTCGCCCACTTGTCACCTAACAGCACAGATATTGGTGTTTTCTGTATGTGACTCTGTTCCTGCTTTCTAAAATGATTCTGGGTGGTGCCTCCAGGGTCATGTTTACTGCAGACTGCTTCCCGTCATCCTTAGTGGGACCAGCTCAAGGCACACTACTAGTACTACGCTTCCTGCCTTGGAAGCTGAGGTGTAACTCTAGACTGTCAGGGTCTGAACACTTTGCCAAACAAAAATCTTCGTTGTTACCTGGATGTTCTAAACAAATATTGTTTGATTTTTACGTGCAGAATTGCTGGATATACCTGATCTTCTTACACGTATCTGTCTTGCAGGAAGGCTGCTTATGACACCTCAGATCCTAGCGAAGGGCTTATGAACATTTTAAAAAAGATGTATGCAGAAGGGGATGATGAAATGAAGCGCACCATCAACAAGGCCTGGGTTGAAAGCAGAGAAAAGCAATCCAAAGGGGACATACCAATGGATATTTGAAAGTACTTTAAGGGCCGCCTTAATACTGATCTTCCATGTGAGACAGGCTGTGCTGCAAAGATCATCATTTACACAACCTTCTTCCAAGCAACAACAGTCATTTTCCATTTCAGGTTGGAGAAAATATTTAAATAAAATAGCTTATAAAGCATTTCCTTCAGTCAAGTGGCTTGCCATTTCCTGAAGAATGGAGCATAGGTATATCCTTACCCCTCCTTGAAACAGCATCTCAGATGAGTGGAGAGTGTTGTGAAACTAAGGACAGAATGTCAAAGAAAGGAATCCTAAACTAGGCTGGGTCAGGGCCTCTCAGTTAGAAGTGACAGCTACACCCAGCTGGTTGCTGGGGCTAATGTCATGCTCACTACACGAGGTGTGGTTTTTTTGATTAGATGTGGGAAAGTGTGTTGAACTGTACAGCATGTCACAAAGGGAGAAATGCTGAAGAAAGCAGAACCACCACGTCACGCACTTGATAGTTGAGCAGAAACAATGTGATGTTCATCCTGTGGTATTAAAGTTTAATGGTTACTCTGAGAAATTAATTGCTGGCTGTCTTAGCTTCTTAGGGATTTTGAAAATGAAAATGGCTCTTTAGTGCCTCTGCTGTGACCTCCTTGGGGTGTCTTTGAGGTGGCAGCAGCCACAGGAGGGCAGTGAGCTGCTGATGTTGGACACTGAGGTTGCCCTGGCTCTAGTGGTGTATGAGGAAAAGAGGGACAAGCTCCACTTTCTCCTGTCAACTTCCAAGAGTTTTAAGGTAATGGATTAAGAAGTATCTTGAGATAACTTAATGTTCCAAAACTTGACTCAGCTGAGGGCGATGGCTTGCTGCCTGTGTGGTTTCCCTCTGGTTGCAGTATGGTTTTACTGGGCGTGTCGACGGCAGCCTCAGCCCTGCTGCTGGGCAGGGGGACGGAGCAGCCATTGCCCTTTCGCTGCCCTGCTTTGAAGAAGAGTACAGGGCAAACATGAGCTTAGCAGCAAGCCTGTGGTTTCCTTCCTGCTTCCTTCTTGTGTCTCCCAAGGACAGATGTGTTTGATGTTACTTTATGATTTAAAGAAGCCATTACTCTCCTGGTATGGTCTGGACTAGGAATAATTTGTTCTAATTTGTTCTTGAAGCATTGGATGAAGAGCTGCACTACAAACAGGAGATAAATAGGACGTTGTAGTTTCTAATAGATCCTTTATCCACTTTGCTTGTTAATATATGTATATTAAGTTTGCATAGCAAGAGTATGTAAACTTGAGGTCATGTTTTATTTCCAGTTAATGCTCATCCTTGTTCGTGGCAGAATACCTCTTTACCCTGTTGTGCGTTTATGCTTTTACCAAAATTACCATGGTGACTTACCGTATGGTGGCAAAAAAACCTGCTTAAACAAGCCTTGTGCTGTATGTCTTTATTTTTAATGTTGCCCGTATCACAAACCCCAGCTTAGTTCTGCAACCATCAGGTAGTGACTTTTTTCCCTCAAAATAAAACTGCCTCTTGTACAGACCAGTGTAGTGCAGTTACACCATTTCTTGTCAGCTCATAACAGTAAGTGATTTTTAATGAATCAGCATGGCTTCTCATTCTTCCCCTTACTAGTTTCATCTTGATGCTGGACTCCTAGACAGGACAGTCTTGCTTTGATTACTCAAAACACGCCAACTGAGCCTGGTTTGTGTTTTCTGCCTGAATATGCATCCACGCTGTCATCTACCACATGGCCCTCTGTATCCCGGACATCTGAGCATGGTCAGCAAAATGGCGAAAAACGATCCTGCTCAGCCTCCAACGCCTCTTCACCCCCCGAGGGCGGGATGTCAAGACACACCTATTTCGGATCCTCACAGGGCAGCTGTCCCGGGGCAAGTCTGCAATCTCTTTATCGGCCACTTCCTAGAACAGAAGACCACAGCACAGAGTTCATTTGTATTCCCCAGGATTTTGAGAGGGGCTTATTGCCAGACCTCAAAATGTAGCTGCAGAGTAGGTACCACCACAAGCTTCTCTACCACCGCACAAGAATGCTTGAGCATTTGACGGGGAACTTGTGCGTGTCTTCCTCACTTTGCACTTTCTTTCTGGGCATCTTAATAGTGAGTGTAAAGTGATCCACGTGGAGACCCCAAAGTTAACCTTATTACACAGACTGAATAGCCTTGTACCAGTAATTACAGTCAGTGCAAAATCTGCATGTCTCTGTCCATGTTGCAGGGTGGGCCAGTCCTTCAGGAGACCCCAAATCTGTCCTTTATCACCTCAAGCCAGTAGTTACAGTTAGTGAAAAACCCACTCAGCTTTCTCCTTGTCACAGGGTGGGCTAGTCCTTTAAGAAGAGCTGAACTTAAATATATATTCCTTATTAACTGTCTTCCCAGGTCACAGCTTTGATGTCAGTAAAAGGGATCTCATATAGTAGACTTTGGTAGGAGTTACAGCCAGAGGAGGACAAGTCAAAGTGTCTCTGGTCTATGAGAAGGCTTAATAAACATCCTTCTACATACAAGAGAGCTCAACCATTTTCAGGAAGCACCAGGTAGCAACAATTGCAATGTCAGAAGAACAAGTGCTCAGCAAGGAAATGCAGCCTGAAGGGAAAGCACTTGAGGTTAGGCAGGCATCTCCAGCTGCAGCATTCCTAATACGCTGTTTTCTGAAGGACCAAAGGGCTCACAAGAATCTTGTGTTCAGTCACAGCTGGAGGTAAAAGGAAGGTCTGAGTCTGGACTACACCAATCCCATTACATTGCAGGAGTGCTGAAAAGCAGTAGTGTAAGGCTACCTTCCACAGGGATATTCACCTTCAAAGGAAAAAGGCATCAAGACAGCAGCAATATGGTTTCCAGCTTCGGAACAGCAAGGTCAGTAGGACTTCTTGTCTCCAGAACGTATTTCTGTTACTGGTTTTGTCCAGTCACACACCTTATCTGTGTATATAGCTCTACCTAGCACAAGCAAACACTTGCAGTGTATTTATGTATTTATGTAAATACACTTGCAGTGTATTTATGTTTGACTTGTTTAATACGTAGGATTTTATTCAGACAGTAGCCTATGCTTTCAGAAAAATCTTACTTTTTAGGACTTTAAATTTTGAACCCAAATAACATTTTGTAGGGGACAAAAATGTTACTTTACTGGAGCTTTGTCTTCGTTCTAACTGCTGCTATGACTTAAAAGGTGACAAAAGCTGCTGAAGAATACCAAGATCAAAGCCTGTCGCAATCTTTTTATATATCTATTTTTTTGTTGTTGTTTTGTAAAGACATCCAACACAGACTAGACTTGCCAGGAGAATGATAAAGTCAATATATAAAATCAGGTTCATACACCTTGTCTCCCAGGGTGTTTAAGTACGAAAGGATCTCGCCACAGCTAGGCATGGCCAGATCAAATGCGAACAGAAATATTTCTGATGCTTGCAAATGTTTTTAATGATTAGTAAGGAAGGCCGAGAGGCAGGGCAGTGAATATGTGCATTGTTAAGAACAGATCTGGCACCCAGATCTGCTGCAGCTTTTATATGCTTTTGTAACTCAGACAAGGAGTAAAATTAAGTATTCCTAATTGAAGGAATCGGTGGTTTTGGCTGGGTCAGATTTTTAAATAAGCAAAAAAAAAAAAGTTTTTAGGAAACTATAAAAATACTGTTATTGGAAATAAGGAGAATAACTTTCTGAATGCACCTTAGAGACAGCTGGACAGCTGTGAGGGGGGAAAAATGAGACTTCATTGTATGTAAGGTTACATATACTGCTTACATGAGCAGCAGTGGTTCTAAAAAAGAAAAAAAAAAAAAAAAAGAAAAGCTGCAACCTTCAGCCAGGGGCCGGGGGGCACAGGTGCCCGGTACCTGCAGCTCCTTGGGCAGGATGGTGTTCTTTCGGATGGCGTTGATCCGCAGCCTCTCGTCTGCGTACTCGACCCCCAGCCTCCTCCTCTTGACGTCCCGCAGCATCCTCCAGTCCACGTAGTAGCTCCGCGCTTGCCTTGCCCAGGGCGAGGGCAGAACCTGAGTAAAAAAACCACATTAAGTCTCTCGTACCCGCCTGCTGCGCACGCACCTTGCCCACCTCAGGTATGAATTGTTCCCACAGACGTCTCTGGAGCTGGAGTTTCTCCTGCCCAAGAAATGCAACTCGTGATCATGTTTCGCTCGAGGAAAGCAGCAAAAAATTCGCCATTCCGG